CATTCCCTTGACCTAAAACTCTTACTCCCACTTCTGTTGCCTTTCTCTTGCACCAGTACAAGTACTCCTGCATAACAAATTCAGTCAGTAAACTGGTCAGGGAAAAAACTGTTGTCAAGTTTTACCTTTTGTTGGCACACGGTAGGATAAGAACTGACAATAACACTAGAAAGTAGAACAGTAGAACTGTCTCTGCCCGCTTCCACACTCATTCGTACTGTAATACAAACTAGGTTCAGTAATAATTTATATAGGAAATCTTTCAGTATACAGTGTTCTTTACTCAGGTGATGCGACAGTCACACTTCAGTCCAGCAGGACCAAAACACTCAGGACCTACGATATGAATCCAATTCATTTGTCTGCTATTCACCATCTCCTTAAACCACTCAGATATAGGTTTAGCTTTACAAAAAGCTTAGATGCTAAAACAGAGACAAATTCTCAACATTTTTAAAAATTGCTTTAAGTAACCAAATGTATCTCAGTACTAAACTTACAAGAAATGCAAAATATCAGTAAGTGCAAGAGTCAGAGTTCATTATCCTGTTCTAACTGCACAAAGACATTTTTATTATCCAATTTATTTGAATAGGCCATTAAAATATGAATACCAGTAGTCTAAACAAATATTATGGCAACTCTGATGAAACAAAACAATTGTGATTATATGCTAAATGACAATTCTGCATCAACTGTCATCTTAATCTTTCTTGAAATTTTACTTCACATGCCTACTGAAAAAAACCTCATGAGACCTGTAACTTGTCCCACTGGCCCCTCCTACAGGTCTCTAGTACTTAACTTAAATACTACTTCAAAGTATTACACTATTGGACTTCAAGTATCTCAAATTCCACTCCAGGATATTAGCACAACTGCTGTTTAAATTATGTATGCATTAGCTGAACCATGGTTCTTCACTGGAAAAATCTGCTTTGCAGATCATGTCTGAGTCCAATGCTGTAATGATAACCTATTAACAAGCTCATCAGGAATCAGAAAACAAAGTTAAAAATCAACTAAACCAGAGGCATTGGGAAAAAATAATAATCAATAGCACTGTCCAGCTGAACCAGGTCATGCATACTAAAATCTCCCACCATTTGCTACTACAGTACATTGCTGCAGTAAAAACAAATCTTAAGCATCAGCAGAAGAACACAGTAAAAGTAAAACATTTCATTGAACTATCTCACACCTTCCTGAGCAATACAGTGAAATTAAAACCTCTTTACAATCTTGGAGTTTTTAGGTTCTGTCACCAGCCAACATTCGATTTTGGAAATGTCAATGACGAATCCTGCCTTAAAGATTTCTGTGTGCAAGTCAGTGCATATCCCATGTAATTTAGCTTTACAATTCCTCCTTTACTCACAGTAAAGGATGGGCCCCAAAACTACATACACCTTCACAATTTCAAGGACTTCAGTGTTCTTACAGGGAAAAAAAAGAAAAAAGGACTCTGCACATAAACACAACTTTGTCTTTAAATTCCAGAATTCCAAATACATAAGCCTGCTGAAAAATAGCAAAAGCTACACAAGAATTTCTGTCTAAGCATCTTAAATCTCTTTCGACTATATCTACCTCTACAAATGATTCCTTGTTTTGGTGGAAATCAGTCCTGTTAACAGCATTTTTCTCCAGTGGATCTGGCAATCCCCTTTAGGCAAGAAGGTGCAGAGATAAAGGGAGTATCCTAGCACTTATGTAGGAGAGATTGAGTTGATGTTGTCAGAATGAAAGAATCCGTCCCCTCCCACTTGGTCCCAGGCTATAAGATCCTTTAAGTGACAAACTCAGATTTTTTTTTTTTTTTTGCATTATTCTCCCCCTCAGATCTCAGCTACCCAATGCGAAAAACCTTTCAGAATAAAAACTCTTGCATAAACAGTGAAACAGTCCAAGAAAGTCAGACTTATATACTCTTTGTTTTATTTTAGAAAGAATGTCAAAACCTACAGCCCTTCAGCCCAACCAGGAAAGGAGAATCACGTGACTGGTCTGAGATTGAGGTGGGAGGTAACAGCATGAAGTCATAAATCCTCAGAATATAAGCCTATCCCCACCCTCTCAGACTTCTTGAGGAAACAGTGGCAACTGAAGTCATTCTTGGTCATCCTAAAACAGTACGCCATAGCAACAATTCAAAATCCAAGGAATTTTACTTTAAACATAATATTTGCAGATCACCTGGACTACTTCATAACAGTATTGTAACGGTAGGCTAATTCGGTTCTAAAGTTCAACATCTATGAGAAAGGGACAGAAGCAGCAATAATTTTTTTCCATTTAACTTTAGTACTAAGTTTACTAAAAAATAGAAAGTTTGAGGGAATTACCATTACTTAATTCTGCAAATAATTTCAGCTAGAAAAAGGGTTGGTATTGGGAGGGAGAGTAGCAAAGACAGAGGAAGATTTTAGAAGTCCAAATTATTTTATTCTCAAATGGATTTGTTTTTCTTTCAAATATACCAAATATAAGATTTTTCAAAAGAGGCAGCTCTTATTTTAAAAGTTTTAAAGAAACAGCCTGAAAAGATTACAGTAACCCCAGAACAAGCACACCACCTTTCCTTCATTCCAAGGAAAAAAGTTTCTGCTTTGACACAACACTAACTGTAAAGGTTTCTTAAATTGTTCGTTGTTGAAGCAAAGTCAAAACTTTTTGATACCCTATCAGAGATAACATGGAAAAAATTATCTGAACATTTAAGTCACCTTTGCTTGAAAAATGCTCAAGAACTGTATAATAAACCTGTTTTTTTCAAAATTATGTACCCTGTCTTGTACTTTCAGCAAGCCTGAAGTTCAACTGGATCTTTAGAGAAGCTCCTGTCTGACTTTCATGTACACGATAACGAAAGTCCTGTCTCCGAGTTTCTCTCTCTTCTTGCATTCTTTGCATAAGGAATCTTTTTAGCAATTTTGCCACAGAACAACCTTGTCATGATCAGTCTAGTTTTTAAACACAAGATCAGTTATCACAAAAAGAGTTCTAGAACAAGGAGAGCCTAGAACAATACCAACAAATTGCAGAAATATCTTGGTTCCTCTCGATACTCACATAATTCAGGAATGCTCTTCTGAAAGCAAGCTGAGGTTATGAGATAACACTACTTAAGTAGTTTAACAACGTAAGTCCCTGTACTAAAATATAATTTCCAATACTGACATAAAAGCCGCCGCCACCACCACCATCAGGTCTCTGAAGAAAGTTGACAAATGCTGCAAGAGAGATTGTTTTCGGTCCCCAAATCAAACACCACCTCTACCCTCTAAACTCCTGAAATTATTTTCAAAATGCTCTTCAGCAAAAATTAACTTGCAAAGAAAAGAATTAGTCCGGTAATAAATGCCTGCTAAAAGTCAATTATTTGTTTAGTATGTTTTCTTATGCCTCAATCTATTGAAGGTAGTTTCCTTCCACCTCTACTACCTCAGACCCAGCCTGTGGCTAAAGACTGAAGAGCATTCTCTCCCCTCAGACATTCCAAATTTTTTCACCCTTTTCAATTAAGAAGTCTTGAACAACCCAGAAAAACATGAATTGAAACCACTTTAAAAAGTGAACACCAGGTATTAAGAATGCTGTAAGATCATTAGAATAGGTAGTAACAGTATCACATGGTTCATTAGAGTGAAAGTAACACCATCTGGTATGCTATTAAGGATGCCCCTTCTGAAGAATGGCTGAACTAAAAATAATGAGCTGCTGAAGGAGCAGGACATTCACTTATTTGAGAGTATATGATAAAGGAATAGGGGGAAGGAAGATTTCCGAGTGCTTCAAATTTGCCCAAAATTGCTAGGTTGAGGACATCAAGAGACACAATGGAGGTCAGATGGGAAATGAAAACTAGCTATATGTTTTTGAGAAGTGATATTATGGGAATATTTTTCAGAAGGATATGGTATTAAGGTATCATAGCAAGAGCTGCCTTGGTACCATATTGAAGAAAATCTTTGGGAAAGCTAGCAGCATCAATACACTGACTCAGCCTAAACTGAATTTTTACACTTTCACAGGGGTACTTGAATGGATTTTTGAATTGATAATCTAATTAAATGCCATATACTTGCTCTAAAGCACATGGCTGCAACTGAAATAAGCAAGTCAAGGGAAAATGTTTAACAATTTAAGGATTGACAAAACACATGGTTTTTTTTTAATCTATATATACCAAAACAAGAAAAATTGCTAAATATTTTTAGCTTACCTTCCTTTCAAATAATACTGAGCTAAATCAAACAATTTTTCGGAGTGATCCTAGTTTCCTACCCATACTTACAAAGAATTCAGCTTTATTTAATGTTTTAAATAAGTATATCATAACCACCTGCACACATAACTCATTCATTACAGCATAAGTTCCCAAGTTCTGTCTATCTCGAATAAATCAGTGGAAACTTCACAGTTGCTGTCTCTCTCCTTTACTAAGGCAAGACTTTCTCTGTACACTAAAGAAGCATGGAGACTGCAGCCTCACTGGACTACAGTGGTGTTTTGAGTGTAAGTGTTGAGGAATCATGTACAGAGAAGGGAGGTACATAAGAAAAGATGTTATAAACATATCAATGTCATAAAACAGCATCCATCTCAAAAAAGGAAATGGGTGATTTTTAGTCCATTGATAATAGCAATAGGCATTATTCTGTTCCTCAGCAGCATGGTTATTGAAACACAATAACTTAGGCTGAGAGCACTTTGTGTCAACAACTTGAAGTCAGCCCTCGAAGATATGGCATATCCATGTCAAGGGTACTCACGAACAGGGGAAACAGACACGAGCAGCTCTTCCCTCTCCCCCTTAAGAGGCTTTAAATTTAGCCTTTCCGCCTTGTTAAAAACACTTGAAAGGAAAAAAAAAATCTGACTTGAATCATTTATTCCAGTCTTAAAGAGAAAAAAAATCCTTCAGCTGAAAAAAACCCCAAATATTTGCATAATCCTTTACTGTCAAGTAGTTAACAGCAACAATTAGAACTACTTACCCTTTTGCATTCAAATTTCTTGCCAAGGAATAGAGCAGGCAGTTGTTCTCATATGGAATAAGTCACTCATTTGTCAGTATTTGAATTTCTGTCACTGCTGCTTTATAGTTTCTCATGTACTAGAATAAAAAGAAACACCACCACACATTAGTGGTGAACTAGAGTGTTCTAAAAGACAAATTATTCTTTCATTTAAAGAATTCTAACATAAACAGCCTACTGGAAATACACTTAAAGCTAAAACTTTTCAATTGATTGAGACCTTCCCAACATAATTCCAACTAAAATGCTGAAAGCAATAGAACTGCATCTTCCAATAGGAATTCTGATTCCAAGTATTTTCCTGTAGCTCCCTGATCCAGAAGTGCCCTATACCAACAAAAAGACCATTTAACACACAGAACAATGGACCATTTATTATTTGAACTCCACTAAACATGAGATGTGCAAAGGCATGCAGCATTACACCAAAATCTTTCTCCTTTATGAGAAAGTTAGTAGTCCCACCATTTAGAGAGAAAGAGAATGAACTTTGCCCCAGTGGATGCTAGGAAATTGGCCTGTACAAATTACATCCTACCTTATTTATAAAGACATCTGTGCTCTTGCTCCCTGTTTCTGATTTTACCGGAGAAGCACATGACATTGTCTCTTCTAAGTATCTAGTCTGTGTTCTGCATTTCAAGATATTTACAGATGATTTTCAAATACTCTTATCTTCTTTGGTGAACATTTGGACAAGCCATACAAAGGTAATTCTCGATGTTTTTGATAATTCATTCTGAGATGTTTAATTATACTATTCCCTTCAATTCTCTTGAACACATTAACAACTTTCAGGTATTGAGATAAAGACCTTTATGTAATAGAACTTTTTCCTAACTGGCAAGGGAATACTACTTCCCAGATCCATGAAACGATAAATGACTCTACATCATCTATACATTCTTTTCATTAGTCTAGTTTTTGCTGTCATAATGTAAAAAAAACTTGTCTTTGAGAGAAATATGAATTGATTCAATTTGTTTTTCTTTGTTTCTCTACCCATTTCTCTGACATGTGTAATGACTAGTTGCTTTTTTTTTTAAAAGAAAAAAGCACTTCAAATCTTGGTACAAGATGGGGAAGGATCACATAATATTTCCATTGATAATTCTCATAGTTTTTTCGTTAGTTCTCGGTTGATTTTCACCTAAACCAATCAAATTAATTACATGCTTCCCCTTTTTCTTAAGTCACGGTGGCAAGTAAAACCAGACCAAATATCAATGCATTTAGCACCTTATCTGACAAACTCCTTCAGTTTAATTTTTCATTTACATTTTTTACAGTCAGTTTTCAAGAATCATAAAGCTCTTCTATGCAAGACATTTAAATTCATTTTCCAATTACAAAGTTGAGTGGGACAAATGTAAAAGACTCTTCAGCTACAGCAAACACCACAATACAAATAATTACAGCCTCCAGTACAATGAATAAAGAACACAAAATAAATAATGAATAAATAGGAGATGCAGTTAAAAACACAACTCTTTTGTAATATAACTCAACAAGACAACATCACCTATTTTCACTGGTGACATTTCCTCAGCTTACCCTTTCCTGAAGGGCCTCATTAATATCCACTAAGGCTAGGAAGGGTTTACCATGTCCTGCTACCTGATACCACTAGCCACAGCTAGAACTATTTATTTTGATCCTGTTTAAGAACTAGAAACCACTCAAAGGTACTCAGGACAGATTTACTTTCATTATGATCCTATTAGTTTTTTGCAGTCTGTTGGAAAACACCTCCCAAACCCAGAGACACACCTAAATTATTTTACCCTAGAAGCGCTCTACAAATTTGTCTGCACACAATCTGCTAGGATTCTTTGCTTGCAAAGAAATAACATGACTTGCACTTATTACCATTACCTGAGATGGCTTACTAGAGGTATCCTCCAGTTAAATTAAACTAAAAAATACTTAGCAAATAGGGGATGTGTATGTCAAGGTGAAATTGTAAATTAAGATACAAAAGTGAAAGTCAAAGGAAGTCCTTGATGATACTTAACATTAGGGGTTTTTTTTTTAGCCTTTTCAGCGACTCAGCTAAGTCGCTCAGGAGGACAATATCTAGCTCTACCCAAGACTCCCTACAAAGCTTTATTTAGGTCTCTGTTCTCAGTTGTTTCCCAAGGATGAAGAAGCTCTCATCCTACTTCTCTACCTTGTACCTTTGTTCAACATAGCTGTTTCTTTTTGTGTTGAATTGGTTTGTGTTTTCAGTCATATTTGGCTATTTATATTCATATATACTATTTTCTTTAGTCTATATCTCTATTTCATTCAAGTAGAATTTCATTAACTGGTTTTGAGTCTATTCAATAGAAATAGACAAGTCACTGTTTACTTAATCAAAGGGCTGTTTTTTTGCCTCTCCACCTGAGGAGGAATAACCCTATGCACCAGTAGATGCTTGGGGCATGCCTGCTAGAAAGTAGTTTTGCAGGGAAGGTCCTGATGGACAAGCTGATCACGAGTCAGCAATGTGCTCCTGTGGCAAAGGTGGCCAACGGTATCCTAGGCTGCATTCGGCAGAGTGTTGCCAGCAGATCAAGGGAGATGATACACCTTCACCCCTCTACTTCATCCTGGTGAGGCCACATCTAGAGTGCCATGTCCAATGCTGGGCATATGAAGCTACTGGAGCGTATCCAGTAAAGGGCTACTATAGTAATTAAGGAACTGGAGTATCTCTCATAAGCAGAAAGGCTGAGAGAGTTGAGACTGTTTAGCCTGGAGAAGGGAAGGCTCAGGGGAGGGGGGAACCTTATCAAGGTGTATAAATAGCTGAAGGGAGAGTGCAAAGGCGGCAGAGCTAGACTTTTTTCAGTGGTGACCAGTGACAGGACAAGACGCAACAGGCCCAATCTGAAACACAAGTCATTTCACCTGAACACAAAAGAATGCTTCTTCACTATGAGGGTGGTCAAACACTGGAACAGGTTGCACAGAGGGTGCGCGGTTTCCATTCTTGGAATGGAAGCCATCTTGGAATTTAAAAGCCATCTGGGCACACTCCTGGGCAACCTGCTCTTGGTGACTCTGCTTGAGCAGGGGGAGAGTTGGACTATTCTGCAACGATTCCCACTTGGTAACAGACATCCCCTTTCTCTAACTAGCAAGAATGCGTTCTGCCTTCCATTGCTATTCCTGTAACAGTTACCAAGTCCAAAAAAGACCCCAAAGCTACCAGACTAATGATCTAGCATGCATCAGGAACATTTTCTGTAGGAGTTTTCTGAGGCTATACAGTGCACCACAAAGTTATAATTTGACTATCTTCTCATTCTGCTAAGCTGATTTTATTATTTATGCAATACATCAGGCTCACATATTTCACTTGCTTCTATCATGCCTTTATAGGAGTACCAAGAAAATAAATGCTGAAGGTCATTTGTGTAAGAGATCATTTTAGATTTACAAAATTCAAAGACTTTTCCCTTGATTTAATGCAAAATACATCCTGTACCATTTCATCATCATGACAGCACTGAACTTGATAAGCAAATGCTACACTTACACTGATGCTCCACGTCTTAAATTTCACTTAAAGAAAAAGTAGCAAAAGGTAGAAAATTATAATTTCAGCTTTTTCACTAACATGCTTTTGATTCTACTTATGCATGTACTATTTAACACTTCCAGGCTGAAAGGATAAAAAATTAACCAATTCCACATGTAATGACTTCATGGTTTTACTTGAACCTGCTTAGCTGAGCACCTTCTATCTCTTTGAAGGCAACAAAAGCTCTAGATACTCAGTTCCCTTTGTGAATTCAGGTTTTAAAGACAGCTTTCACTTTAACGTTTTGCTGTCTACTGACACAGGAACCGACCTGAAACGAAATCTGAAACATATGTTAAGTATGGTTCAGACCCAGCTTAACATCTCACTCTGGAGAGTCAAATTCTGCTTAATTAAAAAAAGTTTAAACACCTTTGCCTCCCTCTCCCTACTTTCTCTCGTGACCAACAACAGCACTCCAATCACAATTTTTACAGTAAAAGCAAAACAAGGTAGAAGGCTTTATCACCCCCTAGAAGGCATAATTTATTAGTGCAGTGTTGAAGATGGGATCAGAAAGGAGCAATGGAACTGGGAACCACTGACCCAATGGCTTTGCTCTTTCTTTCTTACAATTCGTCCTGAGGTGGCTGGAGCAGTTGACATAGCTGCCTGCCAGTAAACTGTTATTCAGAAACTTGCTCACATTGCATTCTTTACAGACACTACAACCAATATTTCCAGAATTACAGAGCACCTCTCAGCCAAAGGACTCACATGTGCCGTAGAAACTTAAGGCAATTCACCAGTTATGCTCAAAGGACGGACATCACAAACTATGCAGAGAAATTCTTAAACTGGAATTATCAGAGAAAGGTACAGAAGTCCCTTTTCTGAGCTCTGTTCTTGTACAGATGTCAACATTTTGTCTGAGAGTAGAATAGCAGCTCTTACGCTGTTAGAACGTGGTAAAATGGTATCTTTAACATTAAGCAACATCTCTCCTCATTTACATCTAATTCATATTATAATACCACTAAAATATTTGTGTGTATGCTACATAAGAAAAAAATTTTTTTTCACTTACACATGTAAGAGATTTAGCAATCATGAACAGACAGTACTAGGCACATAATACAACACATGCGAAACAAAGCTTGCATAAAACAAACCTAGCTATTAGAATGCAGTTCACAATGTGTAAGATGTAGCATATAGTAAAAACTCTCCCTAAATACTCCATTTTTATTCAAGGTTCAAGAGAGTGAAGACACTTCTGTGTAATCACAGCTTAATGAAAGCCATGCCAATTTTAGAAGGCAGGATACGGAATTTTAGTCAAGGTATAAACTCTGCTTAAGGCACTGTATTATTGACATCATCTCAGAGCAAAATGTTCCAATTCATTTAAATGTTGCTCTTCAAAAACTCCTGGATGAATAACCACACTTGCTCTTTGTGGACAGGTACAGCACATCTGATGCATCTACACTTATAATCCTGATTGTACCATAACAGGAAAACAAAAAAACAAAACACCTAATCCAACCACCACCAAACAAATAA